ATGTGTGTATATATAATATTATAAACAATTTTTTTTAGATATGTATTGGAGCGATATAAGCGAATGATGTGCCGAAAAACAATAGAATGTTATCAATAAAACATAATAAAGTGGAATTACTCGAAAAAAAATAGTTTATAGTTATAAAAAAAATTATATAACGTGTACACACTAATATTTTCTTGTATATTGTATAAGAAAAAATATATGAAAATAAAAACTCTCTAAACTCGCAAGTATAAACTCTTGAATAATTTTTCTGCGAAGATTTCTAATAATAAACACAAATAGTAGACAAATTTATGATAAATATGCAGTATAATGCACTCACCTCCGATTTTCTTGTAAATTTATGTATTTCTACGAGTAGAATAATATACATATATTCTGAGAAAGAAAATCGTTGCTTAAATCTCGATTTTTTAAATTAAATTTTCAAGTTTTTTTATATCAATAATTAGGAAAATGATAATAATTTATCATTTATTTATAATTTTAAAGAAATGTTAGATTTAAATTGCAATTCACAAAAAGAAATAAAAAGATATTTTTATTTAAAAAAATAATAGGAAAAGATGTATATAATTATATATAATTATCTAAAATTATATAGAAAATTATATACATATAATTAAACATAATTATATATAAAATATGTCCATTTATATATAGCTATATAAAATTATATATAATTTTATATAATGACATAAAACATTTTTTCCCGTGTATAGTTATCCTCTAAAGTTCATATTTAATATGTTACATACATAATAAATTTAAGAAAATTTTAGAACTGGCTTATTGATATAAACATAAATAATAAAGAGCATGCAGCCACATGTAAGACGTATGTAGTGAGAGAGTCGTATATTTAAATTAATTATAAAGGTAATAAGGTAATAATTATAAGGTAATAAGGTAGACGTTTTGTGATCAAATTTTGACCATCATCAGTATAATACGAATATTATAAAGGATGTATAAAGTAAAAAATTGTTCGAATGTTTGTATAAATTTGCTATTCCAGATATGAGGGTGACTTAATATTACAATTAGCTTATTTGATTTTGAAAAGACCTTTATGCGTAATAGAAATTCCTTACTATATTACGGAATATTCTAGAATATTATCCAGAGTTATGAAAATTGCACAGCATCTATCTAAATAAATTCTATGAGCCTCTCTGCAATTCATGCATTTGTGTACAGCGGAACATGGAGCCTCTTAACCTCTTTTGAATAAACATGATCTTCGCCGCAGAACAGATAACACTGGCAACAGACAACGCTGTTGCTTTTCGCAACTTTTATATGTTCTGTGTAGTACGAATGTAAATCAATGAATAACTGTGAATAAAGTGGATAAATTATAAGAAGCAAACATTGATTTTGTGTCAAAATGAACTTGGAACTATTAGGTAAATAAACAATTATAAGATGTGTGTAATTAATAAATAATAAAATTAGTAGGTAATTATTTAGAGTATATTCCTTTCACCTAAAATTTTAATAAAAATATACTTATTTGACGCGTTTTCATTCAAAACGAAAAAAATCTGGCAGAAAAACGCCACGATCGACCTCGTGAATCGAATTGTTAAGCGTTAAAGTTCAAGACTTTAGAGGTTAAGATATCTGTCATTCCGACTCGATACAACGCTATATACGTTCTGCTTTAATTATACAAATTCTCGATTCATGAAGCTGACCGCCGGGTTTTTCTGCCTAATTCTTTCGTTTTGAGTGAAAACGTGTCAAATCAGTATATTTTTATTAAGATTTTAGGTGAGAGGAGTATTCTAAATAATTATCAATTATTTAGTATTTTCTAGTCCTAAGTTAATTTGCCTTATATTTATACTTCAACAATTATATACATTTTATATTTTACATATTTTTTACAGAGTCATTTGGTCAAAACTATCCAGAGGTACGTCTATAATATTAATTGTGATTTTATTATTATGATTTTATATGAAGTAATTAGATATGTAAACATTTTTAATGATTATTTCTATTAGGAATTCGATGGCACATTAGACTGTATATCTCTTGCTGTAACTTGTACATTTAATAAAAGAGGAACGTTACTTGCTGTCGGATGCAACGATGGAAGAATAGTTATTTGGGATTTTTTAACTCGTGGTATAGCTAAAATTATTAGTGCTCATGTACATCCGGTATGTTCGTTGAGGTAAATTTTACATATAGTTTATAACCTGTAAGATAGGTTGTGTATAACTTTGTAATGTGTGTGTGTGTGTGTGTGTGTGTGTGTGTGTTTCACAGTTTATAAATTATAGTTAAAAGTGATTGATTTAAGGTGATTCTATAAAGTGCTGAAAATTTGGGTGTCTTACCAGGGCCCACCTAAAATCACAAATATCTGCATAATTTGAATAAAATATTAAACTACATATATGTCTTAATGAAATAGTATGAAACATATGATAGTAAATTAAGAGTTGCATTTTCATCAAATGAAAACACAGTGCTATTTATTTTTCGAGATTAAATTTATATGCACATGTTTATGCATATAAATGTCTCTCTAGAATGATTTATTACTTTTTTGTGATTATTGCAATCGTAATTTTTTTGAACTATTATAATCTCGGTTTTTTTTAGAGAAATCTATGGTAATGTTTGTGTGCAGTTAGTCAAAGAAGCACATTTGACCCGTAATGTGTAACTAGATCTAGATTGTACGTTAAAAGTTACATTTTCAACATTTTTTTCTTCCTTATTTCATCGATAACCTATCCTAAAATTTTGTACATGTCAAGTTTGATACTTCAATTTCATTATATTAAAAAATTAAACATTTTTATGGTAACTCGACTTACTGAGAATCACCTTAAAAGACGATATAATAAAAATGATTTGGAAAAAATACAATATTAAATCTCAAAACATCAATTATATTTTTTAGTTGGTCTAGAAATGGTCATAAGTTATTAAGTGCATCAACCGACAATAATGTATGCATATGGGATGTTTTATCTGGAGAATGTGATCAGAAATATAGATTCCCTTCTCCAATATTAAAAATACAGTTTCATCCAAGAAATCTCAACAAGTTTTTAGTATGCCCAATGCGTCATGCTGCTGTTATGGTTGATGTCGAAGGAACGCACAGAGTTATACCACTTGATGAAGATGTATGTAATAAATGACGTATTTCGATATTAATGCCATTCACACATAATTAATACACTAATTTCGGTAATGCATCAATATTTGTGTTTGTGTGTATGGATATATTTGTGAAAATTGACAAGATTAAGTGTTACTTCTTTCTTGTTGATGGAATCAATTTTTATTAGTAAAATGTCAATGATATTGAAAAATGAATCAATTAAATCTTTTTGATATTTTCTTTATATAAAAAAATATTTAGAGATTTATTTTTAAGTATTTCTATTAACTGATTTATTTTTTTTTTAATTGAATGTATGATAAGAGACTAAAGCTGGGTAAAGATAAAGTTGCTCCAATTTCAGAGTGATTTAAACATAGTAGCGTCATTTGACCGACGCGGAGATTACGTGTATACAGGAAACGCTCGCGGTAGAGTTTTAGTTCTTGACGCTGAGACATTAAATGTAAAAGCCTCTTACAAAATAACGCAAGGCACTGCTAGTAACACAGCAGTAAAAAGTATAGAGTTTGCACGGCGAGGCTCTTGTTTTCTAGTTAATACCGCTGATAGAGTAATTCGTGTATATGATAGTACTGAAATATTAGCGTGTGGCAAAGATGGTGAACCTGAGCCAATACAAAAATTGCAAGATCTTGTAAACAAAACAATGTGGAAAAAATGTTGCTTTTCTGGTGATGGAGAATATGTGTGTGCCGGATCAGCAAGACAACATGCATTATACGTATGGGAAAAAAGCATAGGAAATTTAGTAAAAATTTTACATGGGACCAAAGGCGAACTTTTACTCGACGTTGTGGTAAGAAAATTGAATTTATAATTATATAATATTATTAATACCATCATACTCCTTTGACTAAAATTTAATATGATAATATTATAAGACTGCTCATGGTACGCATGTCTTTTATTTCTCCCTCTATTCTCTATAGTGGCATCCAGTCAGGCCGATAATCGCATCTATATCGTCAGGCGTAGTTTCTATTTGGGCACAAAATCAAGTAGAGAATTGGTCTGCGTTCGCGCCGGATTTCAAAGAGTTGGATGAAAATGTTGAATACGAAGAAAGGGAAAGTGAATTCGATTTGAGCGACGAAGATAAGTCTGTCGTTCAAGGAGAAGAGGCTCAGGATGAAGAAATAGAGGTTGACGTTGCATCAATTGACAGAGTTGCTGCATTTTGCAGCTCTGACGAAGAAACTGAAGATATTGGTTCACTTCAATTTTTACCTATATCTCCAGATGTGGAAGATTCCGAAGATAATCAAGTCATGCCACACGAACCGCCAATGAAGAAACATCGTTCACACGATATAGATTTACAGGGAGCACCAACTGATGGTAAGATCTCATATATTAAAAGCAAAAACATAAAAAACAGACAAACTGCGCGACGTGTGTTAAAATGATAGATAAAAATAAAAAAGAGAGAAGACAGCTGATTTTCTATCTCGTTCTATTTAACAGTGTAATGAGAAGGAGATTGGCCATCTTCCACAGTCTCTCTCTCTCTCTCTCTCTCTCTCTCTCTCTC